TACAAAATTTAATTTTTTCACACATACTATGCCAAGCACTCTTTTGTGATTTTGACCAAGATACTTAAATTAAAATATCCATGAGTTAAGGTGTAGTATTTTCTCTGCAAGATCTTACCCACGAGAGTCTATATAATACAATATTGGCACGTTATCAATTTTTTTTTTTTTTGGCTTTTTCCTTGATTTTAGTTTATTTCATTAAACATCACCATATAAAACTTTTTTTTCTGTGTTACAATTCTAGAACAATACACATTCGTAGAGATTGTATGTCATTTAGAAGTTATAAAGCTCTTACGTAAACGCTTTTAATGTTGATATAACCCTTCCATTTTCATTTTCTCTGTCCCTCTCCCTTTTGTTGTCTTTTGTATTTTCAGAAGACTAAAACATTACTCATGCAAACGCTTCTACTTTTTCCAAGAAATATCAATTATTTTGAAAATAGTGAGAGAAATGGTTTCGGTTTGAGAGACGAGAAATGTCATTTTCCATCGCCTTTCTAGTCGCAAGTAAGATTTCTAGACATTATTGAATCTTGTATTGAGTGTTATGCAGCGTTTGATCGATATTGTATGGAACCGTTTTGGGTTGCTTGTAGTTAGCGAGCACTTACTGTACGGTACACTCATAAAACAAGCATCTAAACACACACTGGAAGATTAGTATCGACAGCTCTGGTGGTCGGGTACTAGACTAAAGTGCACACTTCATAACAAAGTAGTTCTAGTTGTTTTTAATTTCTCAGTTGTTTGCTTTCTACTTTGAATAAGTTTTGTTTTCCTTCAGAAGACTAAACAGTCCAAGTCTGAACTTAGTTCCTAACTAAAACATTTTAATTTCCAGTTTGGATTTAGTTTCTAACTGAAATAAATTTTCAGTTGAAGCCTGTACATAGTTCCCGACTAATACATATTTTCAGTTCAAATCTGAATTTAGTTCCTAACTAAAACATATTTTCATTTCCAGTTTGGATTTAGTTTCTAACTGAAATAAATTTTCAGTTGAAGCCTGTACATAGTTCCCGACTAATACATATTTTCAGTTCAAATCTGAATTTAGTTCCTGACTAAAACAGATTTACAGTTCAAATCTGGACTTAGTTCCTAAACAAAACATATTTTCAGCTGAAGAACGGATTTAGCTCCTAAATAAAACATATTTTCAGCTGAAGAACGGATTTAGCTCCTAAATAAATCAGCTTTGCAATTGAAGGATGGATGTTACATGACAATAGGACAGCATTCAAAAGTTGTAACACCCTCAGATGCTACGGAAAACCATGATTTTTTTTTATCAATTCACATATGCTGAAAAAGTAAACAGATTTTATGATATAAGTAATCCTTGGTTCTGATTTCCCACATATAAAACTCATTAGAACGTTTAAACTTATTAAGTATGAGAAAGGCAGATTTTTCTGAATTTGTTGTCTAAATTCTTCGCTTACTATTGTCATAAAATGCATGCAGATGGCGTGTCGCTGCTGAGCAGTGGTGCGTTAATACTGCAACTGATATTACAATGACCACAGACCTTATGATGTATTGACTAAAACATTATAAACTACAACCAGCATTACATTAATTATTTCAAGCACTGAGATGTATACAATGTATATCATCTTTATTTTAGACCCTGACAATGATTAATCATGAGATCTTATCCGTGTGGTGGTGATGAGGCGCACATTTAAGTCGAGGGTTTGGGTCCCGCCAGAGGATCCCAACAGGGTCCAGGGAGCAAAGTTTCCGAAAGATCGTGGGTTTTTAACATTAAGCAAGGTAACGTAACTGTCTATTTCTTAAATTTCTGAAACTTAGCAAAAAGCATTTACATATTGATATAGCCAGCGTTAAAAATACAAGAAAATCAAGAGCGTTATTTTCAGGAACATCTCCCTCTGTATTCCGATCACTATGCCACTTATCTTTATCACGATAAGTGATTATCATTTTCTCACCAATCTCTCAACAGTCATATATTCATCCGTGTTTATACGTTTTCACACTCGCGCTCAAATGTTGTCTGCCAGCACATCAAGGCGCTAGCATGAAAGTTAAGGATTATGGCATGTGGAAAACGAAACAAAAAATAAAGGATGACAATAAAAATGCGATTTCGGCATATAGATAATCACAGCATACCAAAATTACGTGAAGACATGGAAGAAAAGAGAAATTATTACATGTGCATTCGGGAAATCGGAAATAGATTTTGTGACCAGAAGTGCCATTGCACCATTCTTATTTTGAAAGGGTTGGTTGTTTGAATTTATGCACAAAGCTACACAATGGGCTATCTGTGCTCTGCCCACCATGGGTATCGAAACCCGGTTTCTAGCGTTGTAAGTCCGCAGACATACCGCTGTGCCACTGGGGGGGGGCACTTTGAGAAAGAATAGTGCTTTTAACTTCAACTAATGACATGACGGGAAAGTGTTCGGGGAAATTAAATTTCTGCCATCCCAATCTGCTAGGTTTGTAGCGCCATCTGATTAGAATTTCTGTTACTTTTCAAGAAAATACAATTGCTAGTACTTAAAGTGAAGCTCATATAACAGCATACCAGACATTATCTCAGAAACTCGTTGAAATACACAAGCTGAATGCTCTGCCCGTGTACATAAATCTGTCGAAATTAGGAAAAGAAACTGAAATTGTAGAAATGCTGAAGAAGAACAGAGCAAAATGTAATTAGGCATGCTATGTTTGATGTAGCAAAAGAGATGTAGAATAAGCTAAGAAGCGAAAATTAAAGCACGATAATACTCCAGGAATAAGTTAAATACTGTAAGGTAAGTATGTATTTTGCACAGAGAAGGTAGACAGCAGCAAGAGGCACCACTTCTGTTTCTTTTGTGACGAAATGATAGAAGAGATAGATGAACCTGGATAGTGCAATTTGGAAAGTAGCATCGGAACTGAGAGATATAAAGTTTCTTGGCAAACTTTCATGTGATCATGCAGCTGCTTTAAATGCTTCCGTGCTGTGAAATGACTGATTTAGATTATTGTATCATACGAAATGTCTTATATCAAAATTGAGATGAAAAAATTGTGTTTATATGCTAGACAATGTGTAGAATATTATAAGAAAGAAACAGCTGTGTATCTGCTCCATGTGTAGAAGATTCATGAAGCAAAGAAACTGTTCAAGACTAGTATTACAATGAAAAGTATTACTATGTAAGACGGCTAATATAAAATATCAAAATAATCTATGTCTTTATTTTTATTACTGTAACTATTATGTGAATTCAGGGGTATGCCTAATTGTTGGGGAGGGTCCAACTTCACCCTTTATCCATCTCTCAGACCCACCTGTACTTTGAGAAGGCATATTGTTGTTAACCTCACTAGTCACGTGACACAAATATGCCCAAGATAATATGATTTCTGCCATTCAACTCTGCTACACGTGTAACGACATCTGAGCTGCAACTACGAGGCTAACTAAACAGTAAATGTTAAAGAACAGGAAGTCGTATTAGAACATGTTCTGTCCCCATAGTTTGAAGGGGAAGAATCTGTCAGATCACTTGCTTTTCTTCATGCTTTCTTTCAGAATTGAACATCTCAGTCACATATCTTCTGGCTAGTGTCACTTGTAAGCACCCTAGATAACAATTAAGACAGCAATATATAGATTCGGATCATAGCTTGCCCAGCGTCAAGATGTAATGAAATATGGAACCGAAAAAAACAACAACAAAGAATGAAACAGAGCACATTACATTAACACTAACGTCAGTGATCATCCTTCAGTAAATAGTTGCCCTAAGATTAAACACGAGTGAAAAAAGAAAACAGAAATATAGTACCCTATAATCACGTATTGTGAGAGATCTTTTAATAAAGTGCAAACAGCAAGATGTCAGGACCGCCTTCGAAAACTGTAATACCCTCAGGTCCTAGCTGCTATACAAAACTAACGTATACTTTGAAATATGCCCTGTGCATACATGAATTACACAAGACCATTGATGTAAAAATCCAAGAATATAAACATACAAAAACACTGCTTAATCAATAATTCAGTAATTGCTTTATGTAATACAGAAGAAACTACCAAGTGTAAGTGAAAAACTACAGAGCAGTGCGAAAAGAGTCACACAGAGAGAAAAATCAAAGTTGGTTTCATCTACCATTTAGTAATGAACTAGACAGGAAATTACCAAACTTCTTTACCATTACTAAAAGGAACATTAGTACAACTTCGATATCACATATACGTATATAATAATAGTCCATTCATTGAACAACAATGCCGACTTACAACGGAAAGATAAACAGTTCATACGTTTAATGATAATTAGTTGTCAAACAATATGCTATAGTTAGTTCTAGATAAAAACTAGTTTAAACTAGGAAAAGATACCAACAGACAATTTGGGAAACTACTTAAATCTTACTATTTTTACTAGTTAGTAGCCAATAGTACTTTAATGCAATAACAATAATAGATCATGCTAGATAGAATATTAGTAGTAATTTCTAATTATAATTGAATTTACAGGTTGTAACAACGATAATAGATCATGCTAGTATAGAATATCGGCAGTTACTTCTAATGCTAATTGATATTAATGGTTGTAACAACGACAATAGATCATGCTAGGATAGAATATCGGTAGATATTTTTAGTTGTAATTGATATTAAAGATAGAATACCGCTAGTCACTTCTAGTTATAACTAGTATTACAGGTTGCAAACAAGAATTATAGATTATCCGCTAAATGAAAGACAAAATGTCTGTAGTCACTTCTAACCCTAATGAACATTACCAGTTCTCAACCCTGGTGGAAACAAAGAATACCGTTAATCACCTCTATTCCTAACTGATTCTGTTAATACCGGTAATTATGTTTAACCCTGATTATCGGTTATTGCTTTGTCTCAAGCCATTGTTATGTTTTAACGAGTGTTTGTGAAAGAAACATGAGAAAATAGAACAGCTTTTTAACTGAAATAACAAAATATACTCAGACAAATAATGATTTACGATAATTTTATTTTTTCTATCTTCAGCCCATATTTTATTAATAATCTCAAACAAATGTTACTCACGAGAGTTTAGGTTTAACTGTTCAATGTTTCTCCCGCAATGCATGAAGTTTATTAAAGACGTAGATATCTAGACAGAGGCTACAACATCTAGTATTGCCTGATTGTAAAACAAGATATTTCGTGCATCAACAGCAAGAAATAAAAGACATTTACGCCAATAAAAAGCAATATTTGAGCCCCATAATTATGTCTAATCAAAAACCTAAGAGATAAGATATGTTGAGAGATCTAAAGAGTTCTATTGTGTTAAGAAGTCAATTTCCTTCGTAAAATAAAGCAAGAAACTTAACGTCAGTTAATCTTCCAGTAAAATCTTGGTCGTTGAGTCTCTCCTCTGTGGTTCTAGGATAGAAAGAAATAATTACACTTGTAAAAAAAACACATAAACTGTTATGATTTACAAATTGTTGTAAATTACTAAATTATTATTAGTTACCAAAATAGGCTGTCTGGCCACTTTATTATGGTACCCTTAACCACACATATTATCACATTTGTAGAACATAGTTTGATCATGTGTTATGATAGAAGACTGGTTGGACTCTTTACATTGTGCTTAATCCGTAATACTTTAATTATAAACACGGTCCTCCTAACTTCCGCAAAATTACCACAAATTGACCAATAAGATCAAATATTTTCTGCCGCAACTAAAGTGTAATTTCATTTTCACAAACCGTCGAAATGGATCACATAAGCGATGGTTAAGCTGTTTCATCAATTGGTCACAGTATCTTTTGCTAATATTTTATCCAATAAATTTACTATTATGTCTGTTTCCATTACCCATGTTGGTATTGTTATTATTATTATATATATATACAAACATTAGTAAAGTTACCTTTTCTTATTCTTATTTTTAAATGTTTTCTTACTCTAAAATACTCCACTGCTAGGTGATAAAGTATATTTGTTCAAATTATAAATATATGTATATATATGTTTTGTGTCTTATATATTTAGTTTATTGTTTAGTTTGTGGAATTTTTGGTTATTAGTTGAGCCATAAACTCGAGGACCTTCAGTAGTGGCAATCGAGCGTGAGCATCATTTTCACTAGAAAACATTTTAGTCATCAGTCGCTAGTGACTGATTTAGGAAAAGACAACTGGTATGTAAAATTCCATATACGCCAATATTTGATAGACCAACCATCCACACCTACAAAGAAAAAAGAAAATTGAAACAAAATATTTCAGAGTTATACTTAAGAAACGCTGTTACTATTGAATAACTGAAGAAAAAAACAGAATATCTGTGACGAAAAGGCAGTGGGTATACAGGATTCATTGATGGGTGATGTATTTCAGAAGTTCACCATTCCGCTCCGCTAGATGGAGATGTTCATGATGACAATACTAGTGCAAATGTGTGGCTACAAAAGGTGATGAATGTCTCATTGTTTGGTTCTAGATCATGACGAGTGCACTGAACTGGTTACTATAAGATTTATACATATGAAGCTTCCTGAAACACTGTTATTTCTCTAAGCCCCTTAGATATACATTTTAAGTAGCGAGCCAGACATTGAAAATTTGATACAGTCTGGAGTTGAGACCGTCTGTAAGGGAGTGATCATTGTTAGGCCTTGTTTTATAACTTCGATGAAGGTAAAACTGTCTGTAAAGAGATGGACCATTGTTATTCATTGTTCTATAACTTCGAAAGTAATTTTCCATCAGCCACATTCATTCAGTGCGTCATCTTAAAAGACATGTATTTGAAACAAGAAAGGAAATTGTTATTCCGGTTCTTTTTATTGGGAGGGGGAGGTTGAACGTAAGAAACTATTATATGGCAGACGTCAAACAATTTATCTCAGATGGAAGTAGAAAATCAAAGATTCAATAATGCTTAGAATATTCTGACTGTGAATAATGAATGAATGGAAATATATGTAGTTTGATGACTCACCTTTGGACAATTTTCTATCAAGGCCTTGGTTGTGCTGTTCTGTGAGTGCATGGGACGTGAGGTGGTGTAATAGTGTCTGGAAAATGTTTACAATACTTTGATTTCTTTAGAAAATTAAAGAAATTTATTTTGCATTTCCACCCTGATGAGTAAGAGATCTTCCAAAATGGTGATAAGTTGATATGGTCCGAAATCAAATCAAAGAGCACGTAAGCTACTACAGTCATCTCTATCAGTCAAAATCTGTCAACAGGACTTAATCCGATTAATCGTCTTTTGATTGAACTTTATTTTTGCATTTGCTACAAGGATATTTTGCTGACATCTGTGAATCAGTTGTATACTATATCCCTCAACGAATAGAATGCAGTTGAGCAAGACACCAATATATATCTTTGCCACGTCGAGTCCAATGTATTATGACATTGAAAATTGATTCAATCCGATGCAATCCTAATAAAGTGGCCAGTAGGTATACTACAAGTGTAGAGTAGATTTTGTCCAACAACTTGAGTACATAGTAGCTGCTACGATATAGAACAGACTATATCTAACAGCTAAGCGCATAAGGCCAGAATGTCCAAAAACTAAAATAATTATTCCAACATTCCCATGCACATATTAACAGAAACTACTATAACACAAACCTGTCCAACCTGCTAGAAGTTACTAGAACTATGTAACTTGTACTTACAACCAAAATATATCAAAACTTTAAAATATACCATACTTAAAAGTCTTGTTCACGTAATTAAAAGCTACTACAGATTTAGTAACAACTACTACAACCATACAAGAAAACAAACAATAGTGCTGTATACATTAAAATAAAGTTTTGCAACTATTAGAGAAAAACAAAACTTCTACTATCACCCCTTTGCAAATGACTAGAAGTTACTAAAACCCTCGAAGAAATTACACACGGTTGAATATGCTATATTAAAATGATTTTGAGCCTCACAACGTCGTTATAGTCTATCACGCCACGTCTGGTCATGCTCTATCTGATGACCTTGTATCTTGACATTAGCCCTGCAAGGTAGTTTCTGTTGCAAAAAGCTTTGTTGTAAAGCTTTTCATTAGGGATTTAGTATAGGAGGACAATAGTTTTACAGTGACTATTTCATCAATTTGATCGCACAGAAATAAATAGGCAACTTGAATGATAAAATACCCATATTACTTAAGTTGTTTGAGGTATGCGATGATTGAACTGAAGGTATGACTGGAAGCCTTATCATGGTGAATATATGCTCTGTTGTCCTCATTTGTAAATGGAGATCCTTCTTTATTATGTTGTGAATTATGGCTGGTAAACGTGGATAATTTTTTGCCACACCTTTGTATTCGTAGATTATCATCCTGTTACAAAATGCAACATTTGCTTACTGTGGTTGGAGTATGGCTTATTGCAGGCCTCTATTTTGGATGGTACTGGTTCCCACGTTGATCCACATTTCTTTGTTTTCCAATGTCATTTAGTAAAAAGAGATATCTACGTCTTAAAAATTCTAAATTACCAATTTTAACGCATCTTTATGATCTAAGTGTATGAATATATCGAGTCAGAAAGAACTTGCATGCCATTCCAAAATCAATTAATTTTCAGTGACATCGCAATACTTATGTAATGACAAATAATATGAAAATGTAATTCTGATACATAGCGTTACACCGCGACTTCAAGTCTGCAGTGGTTATCTCGTGCCTTACCGGACCATCCATATATCAAAAATTAATATTACATGTTTAAAACGCGTACTTTTGGAAGGTAGATCTTTCTTCATCAGAATAAACCATACCTAACAGTCTCAGTTGTATGAATATAAGCTACTACTACAGCTGTAGTGGAAGCCATACCAAATAAGCTTGCCATAATCAAAAGTCACTAGATTTGTATAATAACTCATATCTAACAGTCTTGTGTACATGACCAGTAGTTGCTAAAATTTTAGAGAATAACATTATTCGTATGATCAGAAGCCACTACAGTTTTAGAACAGATTTTTTCTAACAGTCCTTTGAACGTGAATAATGACTGCCTTAAGTTTAAAAAAACTGAAATCTCTCAGTCCTGCATATCCAATTAGAAGTTAATACGACTTTAGAATAAACCATTTTAAGAATCAAAAATTAACTTACGAGTAATTATCCCAACCAATTAATGAATAATGTCATGATTGTTAGGTAGTGACGTGCGTTTCTTTGAAATAGCATCTTTTAATAGTTTAGAAAACGAAATGATTAGCATTGAAATAACTAATAAATATTAAAATTGTTGTAAGCAGTGACTGAAAGAAGATATTATGCAAAATCGTTATAAAATACCTCGCATTGCTGACTTTTCTTTCATGTAATTAGCGTCATCATTTGTAAGAATGTGCCAGTTTGTGTTGAAATCTGGACTTCGTTTTCCCCACATTCCTGATAAGTCGTTCCAACCTCGTTTCCCCCACATCCCTGATAGGTCATTCCAGTCTCGTTTACCCCACATTCCTGATAAGCCATTCCAGTCTCGTTTGCCTGACTCTGATAAGTCAATTTGGCCTCTCTTGTCTATGAAGTCAGGAAGATTTTCCCAGCTTCGTTTGTCCCACATTCCTGACAAGTCTTTCCAGCCACGCTTATCCACGATATTAGAGAGACTGTTCCAGCTTCTCTTACCCCACATTCCAGTAAGACTATTCCAGTTTCTTTTTTGTTGTTCCTGTTCTTCAATTTTTTCCATCACGTCTTTTAGTGTAGGACTGCTTTCTTGAAAAGTTCTCTTTGCCAGAACACCTAACATACATAGCCAAAGGAAACAGCTGATTCCACCCATAACATGATGCATTTTGCCTGTAAAAAAAATAGTAAAAATTATCAATAACTCTTCCTGATCAATACCTTTACTGATAGTAAATATATGACAAGCCATATATATTATTGTAAATAGCTCTTCCTGATCACATCAAAACAATACCTTGACTGTTAGTAAAACGATGACAAGCCATACATATTATTGTAAGTAGCTCTTCCTGATCACATCAAAACAATACCTTGATTGTTAGTAAAACGATGACAAGCCATACATATTATTGTAAACATTTCTTCCTGATCACATTAAAACAATACCTTGACTGTTAGTAAAACGATGACAAGCCATACATATTAATGTAAGTAGCACTTCCTGATCACATCAAAACAATACCTTGACTGTTAGTAAAACGATGACAAGCCATACATATTATTGTAAGTAGCTCTTCCTGATCACATCAGAACAATACATTGACTGTTAGTAAAGCGATGACAAGCCATACATATTACTGTCAATAATTCCTGTTGATAATATTACAACAGTGCCTTACCTGTGTATAGCACCATGACAAAGCATAAAAAATATTGTCGATAACTCTTCCTTATCACATCACTACAATATTTGCCTATGTGTAACACCACGATAAGCCTTTGATATTACTCTCAACAATAATTCTTGATCACATCACAACAATACATAGCCTGTACATCTAACACCATGATTATTTTCGTAGTAACAACATAATATCACTCGTGTCTCTAATCCACAGATGGCATTTCAAATATCTATTTTTATATACATCTCAAAAAATGAATATTACATGTTTAAAACCTATACTTTGAAAGGTTGTTGTTTGTTATCAAGCACAAAGCTATACAAAGGGCTATTTGAGCTCTGCCCACCACGAGTATTGAAACCAGGTTTCTAGCAGTATAAGTCCGCAGACATGCCGCTGTGCCACTGGGGGTCTTTTTTGGGAGGTAGATCTTTCTTCATCACAAATCGCTCAGTTATGAGGTTTCTATTTTGTGATTTATATATTCATTTTAATTTATGTGATTTCTTAGCATCATGAACGTATATCTAAAATTTTAGATTCTTAACATGTGTACAAAAGGTTAAGTATGTTATACTAAAACGATTTTGGAGCCATACCATGTTTGTTTGTTTTGAATTTCGCGCAAAGCTATACGAAGGCTATTTGCGCTAGCCGTCCCTAATTTAGCAGTGTAAGACTAGAGGGAAGGCAGCTAGTCATCACCACCCACTGCCAACTCTTGGACTACTTTTTTACCAACGAATTG